ACTCTTCGCCAACCCCCACTGACCAGCGATGGTGAAGTACGACTTACGAGTGGGAAGACCTTCATCCAGCAGTTGACTGACAAAGAGTTGTAGAGTTTTTGTTTTAAATAAAGCAAATATGTTGCATAACCCTCAAGGACAATGCCAGGATAGATAACACAATCACACTCACGCCGTAAATCTCAATACCTGATTCGCCTACTACTGTAGTTGGACATACTCACCGAGTGTCCAAGAATGTATGTGGAGGGCAACTGCATTTAGCATTCATGTAACGATGCATCAGCTCTTCGATTAATATTGATTGTTAAGCTCAAGGTAATACACAAAATAACTTGTGCAAAAATCTATACGATTTCCATGCATATATCTCAGATGTAATAGCGGGGGGGGGGGGGGTAGAATCATTACCCCCTCTAGAAAATCATCCCTGTTGGACTGGAGTAGATGGACTGCAATGGGCAATATGAGACGGTTTCCATGCCATTGGTAACCAAATATTCTCTGCATGCCTATGGGGGAGTATGCTTTTGCTGTGGAAGGCAATAAGTGGGGAGGTTGATAGGTAGGGTTTGAAGCCACTGTGAGACTGCCTGCCACTTGGCACAGAGAAAGATTGCAGCATACATTTACTGGAGTGTAATAAATCTTGCTGGATTCTTATTAGCTCCATCACATGACAGCATATTACAGTAAGCAAACACCTTTTCCCACTGAAGTGCTGCTAACACAGTGTAAAATTAAATCTTGCCATTAGTAACGTGCTATATAAATGCTCCCAAGTCACTATTCAGACACATGTAAGATTAAAAATAACTTGGCCTATTAGCGTTACACTCCAATGGACACCTACGCACATGTGGGTACACGTGTACAAATAGTTGTTTTATTCTGTAGTCACTTACACAATATAAAATAATACTAATTTCAACTTGTAATGCGCTGCACAGCATTCGCTTACTCTCCAAGAAAGACAACAACTCAGAGGCGCGAGGAACCACAGTGAAATCGGAGAGCCCACACCAAATTCCCTCCAAAGCTCTGCGGTCCTCTGTATATTAAAGTGCGATCCGTCAATTGACGTGGGAGAAAGCCGGTGCACCCAGAGAAAACCCACGCGTGCGAGTGAGCAACAACTGTATCCTATAGAGGTGGAACAGGTGGAGTCCATATCTATTGCACCGCCTTCTCCTGATAAGTCAAGGCACGGCACCTCCCCAACACCTAGAGGAAGGGAGTTTCACAACATTTGTGCGATCCACAAACCCTCGCCTCCAGTGCTGGATTACAGGCGTGCGCCACCATCGCCCGCCCAAACATGGTATAGAGTGCAAAATACATCTGGAATCGTCATATACAAATTATCCAATCAGTAACAGAATTTTTTTATTTTAACCCACCGAATATTCTCATTTATAATGAATTGGGTGGTCACTCGAGATCGGAGCGTCGACATATCACTCGTTGGTTTTAACTTTCAAGTACAGCTGCCAAGATGACAAGAAAAAGGGCCTGACGCAGCACGCAGGCATTGGAAAGAAAGCCTCTGTGCAATATCTACCGGACATATCACACGAAAAAAAATTAACCCGTAAAAACAAAGTTTTTCACTCTAAATCCTTTATATGCGTGGCGGCTAGAGTCCTCTCGTCCTCTGGCTTGAGATGGCTGTCACCTATGGGTCAGATGATTGTCTGCCAGCATTAAGCAATTGGTAATTAAATATTTTTAAAAAAATCCCTAAACAGTGTAAAATTTAGGAAAAAAAATTTTCACGAAAATTAATTGTCACGCACAACGAGTCTGTGTGGAAAATGTCAGCTCGATTGGATCACGGGAAGTGTGTTAAAAAACGACCGAAAGATTTGCACGGTCGTAAGCAAGCAAGCAAGCACGCAAGCACGCAAGCAAGCAAGCGAACTTAATATAAAGGATTTAAAAAAGACGAAACAACAACATACCCAGACAAACACACAATAAAAGACAGCACCACATCTCGACGGAACAAACACCTTAACACACTCCACGAGGTCCTCTTCTGCAGGGACAGTGGTGGCTGTTATATAATTCAAACGCAATTTTACGTCTAACAATGATAATGGGAAAAATGCAATCCGCAAACTTGTGTCACGTAGGTATAATTTAAATGTTTGACAGATGCACTAACAATGCCAAAATAAAATAAAATGTGTTCAAGCCCCCACCCCCTCCCCATAAGTAGGCAATGCAAATACAGAGCACAGACACACAATTATTCTTTTTTTACCCTCACCTCATATAAGAGGTCAATATCCTTCCAATTTCAGAAAACAAAAATTGCTGCAATTTAACTATCTGTTCCCCGAAGCATTGAATCATACGTGAGACCACGTGAGCGAAACAGACCTCCAATTCAGTGCTCATAAACAGTGCTCTGCCAAGCAAGCCATTAATCAGCAATGACTGCACTTGGCTGATGGCCTACATTTCCCATTATATTCCAATGCACCGTACACTCAAAGTGTGACAATGTAATAACTTTCATGAAAGGCTCTCCCTATAAATACTTTTTTTTGCAAGCTAGAAAATCGTAATTATATCTACTCATTTCCATTTTCCCAGCGGACAGTAAAATTGCTCCAAAGAGCTGGGACGGAGATCAACCGTTATAGAATGTATAGTGGTCACAGAAACGCAGCCTGCAAGTAATGTGTTATAAATTTAAGGCCGAGTTTTCCTTCAAATGCTCCAGGGGATGAGGAGATCTGGATTACATGTGCAGGATGCATCACAAGCAATGACAGGCCAGCCCTCTGCCATTAAACCTATTGAGCACAACATGCGGGAATGGCATGCAATTGAACATGCCAACGCACAACACGTACCACGTAGCACTGCAATTGTGAAAGTCATACGTATTGCCTGTACAGTTAAGCTTCGATAATTATGTTAACACAATGTTACCTAAGCGCGAGGGCTAGCAACAGGTGCTTCACGTAGTTATTGCAAAACCTGCAATCGTACTGCACGGGTGATATTTGTAAAAGTTGGAAATTGCTCATTAAATAAATATCTCATTAAAAATAGATCAGAAATCCTTTAACTGCAACGAGTTTCACCCCACGTTGCATGTGACATTATATGCAACTAATTGGCATGGAACAGCAGGTTGACATTTAAAACAAAAATACCAGATATCATTGCCACAGGGAAAGTTATTTATCCTGAGCATGTGACATTAATCTTTTGGAGGCCAACGGGCCTTCCAACATTTGAGTTTTAACACGTTGACTTTTTATAATGTTCCATCTTAGTGACAAATCCAATGGCCTTTAAAATGTGAATTGTGTGATAGAACAGTGCAATATCGCCAGAGGCTGTTTCTTCATAAAGTAAAGACTCCACGGACAGGATTTTCCTCTCCAGGCAAACAATGCTGGCTTTCTGTGTCGTTCCTTGTGACCTCACCTGCTCTGATCTTTGCGTTGTGTTGGATTTCCATGACTGGGTAAATAACGCCGTGGCATATGTGCGTTTGGGTTCTGTTACCCCCTGCCCGAACTTTAACCCTGGGATACAACAGCCTGATAGGTGTTTGAACAACAGGACAATTCACGCTGCATTTACTGTATCGCCAGGAATTAAATCAAATCTTCAGGTGTCGGGTCCAGTATGAGGGTTACATTTTTACCAAGTGATTCATGCCTACAGGCGATCTCGATATTAAAAATGCCATCAAAGGTTAACTCGTCACAAGCCCATAAAACAAAACTGTGTTATAAGTTTAATACCGTTTCAATTGTTTGTAAAGATAAATGCAGAGAAGGCATTATACAGTAGCTCATTGCTATGGGTTAAATGTGTGCTCTTATCCTCATTCAATCACTCAGGGAAGATAAAGGCTTTACTTGACATGGCTTATTTTCCGCTTGCCACAGAAACACTCATTTGGAAACAATCCCGTGCATGACCTTTGCGCTTCTGAAACGGCCAGGTGCTATTGCAGGGCATTAAACAATAAATATAGAAGGTTATCTTGCAGGAGTTTCCCGTACACACTTACCGAAGATACATCATTGGTCACTTAATGCTGCAGAAATATGCATCGCTGCGGGAAGGATAAATTCCGAGTTCACCTCGGGTTGGCCCATAAAAACGGTGCTTTTGGCAGCTTTTATTTGTGTACACACATGAGACACGTTGATTATGCCGCTGTGTACAAGAAGAGTGCTCTGGGACTGAAATTGCTTTTCCAAAAAGCACATTCTCAGTCCAATCTTACACGAAGCAGTCAAAGATCCCCATTAGCCATATAGACTGTTGAGGCAAGTGCTGTTACCAAGCACCTTTTGATGTCGGCAGCGCACACGAGGGGGTGGTGTGGCCAGACCCCATGCACAGCCACTTTATCTAGCCAGTGCGCACCAGATACTCCTCTAGAAGGCTGAGTCAACCTAGGGAAGGCACAGGACCAGTTCAGAAATCACTTTCCACCGACATCAACCATGGCCAGCAATCAAATGTCGGTCGATAGCTCGGTCATGCACTAAAACTAACGCCACACACCACCTGCATCCATGTCTGCGAATTTGGCTGTCCCATAGTGAGCAATTTTATTACCCCAGCCATCCGTGCTGTCCACTCCTCGCCTTTCTTCAAAGTCAAAATTCAAGACCTTAATTTTATGCCTCTACCTATGATTTACTCACTCTCTAGCATATGTACAGCTGCGGCCACATTCAGACACTATATGAATCCAAATTGTATTTGGATTTATATGACTATGGTTGCCACACTTGTCCTGGTTTTCCAAAGATCCTTTGCCTCTCTTTGAGGTTGCCATTTTGAGAAATCTGGCCAGCCTTCCCGCAGATATTGCAAGTACAACTTATTCGTTGGTTATGCTTTCTCGTCTAGTTCTCCCTCTCTTCGGGTACTAGGAGATATTCTTCCTCGTACGATACGTCCCTAAATACGACAGCGGGCATAGCACGCACGCTCGCGCTCACGCACGCACGCACCTGCTGCATCTTCTCGAAGTCGAGGCTCGGCCGGCGGGTGTGCTGCTCCGCCAGGGCCTGCTTGTGCCTCTTGCACGGTGAGGCCTGGTCCAGCGCTGAGAGGGTGAGGCGAGCGCCACGCGGACTCCACACGACGGGCTGCAGGCAGCGCGGCGGAGAGGCGCTGAACAGCAAGGGGCTCGCACAGTCCTGCCGCGTGCGCACGACAGACGACGGCGTGCACGCAGGTGTGTTGTTGTTGTTTTTGGACACGTGCAAGTGTTGTGTGGTGTATGGGTTTTGTGTTTATATATAGTGTGCGTGTGCACGTGTGTAACGTGTGTAACGTGTATAGCGTTTGTGCGCAGAAAAGTAGAGCCACAGTCACAGGGTGAGGGGACAGAAATATACACTTAAATATAGAGCGGATATCGGTTGTAGATTGAACCTGCATGAGGTAAACGTTCTAAATTTAAAGCAGATGTGGAGTGGTACTGCTCTATTTGTTATAATAATGACAATGTGTGCCTGCTGTGCTTCCTCCACACCGCATACACATAACAACAACCACTGCTAATCACCACAGTGCTTGTGCCAGGATATGTGCACTTTAAAGGTACATCAAGTGTCAAAGGCTCACTGGTAGGACGCCACAGGATGGGCCCAGGTGTTAAACATGAAAAAATATAAACGAAACTATTTAAATTTTACCATGTAACGCCAACTGAGCTATTTAGCTCTTTTACAGAATCGACCTGGCCACAAATGAAGGCTCAACAAAGTGGCTTATCATGTGGAAATTAATAGCAACCAAAAACTCTAAATGCATGTTTCTAAATATGGAGCTAAAAATCGGAGAACCCGGAGAAAAATCCACGCTACCACGGACAGAACATGAAAACTACATTTTCAAGCATCAGTGTCGGGATCTAACCCAGACGTCCTGTATAACAGGCGAGGTAGTTAACATCTCGCCACCATGGCATGTTATGATATAATTGTCCGAGATGACTGACAGATGCACCGCCTGAGCTCCTCACATGTCAACTCGCTAGCCGTAGCCACCCGGCGCACTGATCCTTATCGTGCACACCCAGACGCAATCCCATTCCTCACCTGTCCGTTCTGTTGTATTGGACGGAACGCCTTGCTGGTGCACAGATCTTTGACCTCTTCGTCACTGGACGAGGCCCTCTCGGGTTGACAGGCCCTCCCAGCCCCGACTTGGCACCACTTCCGTTTCTCCGGCATAGCGGCAACGAAGCCAATGGCACCGCCACCTCCTCCTCCTCCACCGCCTCCTCCTCCACCGCCGCCAGCTGCAGCAGCAGCCGCAGGAGCAGCGGCAACAGCGGCGACCGCGCCCGCACCGCCACTCGGCAGCACGGCGCAGCCCGGCACGCTAGACAATGGGGCGGCCACAGCCATTCGCTCGCGTGCCGTGATTATGCTCTCGAGCTCCTCCTCGGAGCTGGGCCGCTCCAGGCGCGAGTCTGCACGGGCCATTGGCCGGGGCCCGGGGGGAGGAGGCGTCTCGCGGCTGTTTTGCTGCCGGCTCAGGGCGAGTGGCGATACCTCGTCACCGAGGCGTCGCCTCTCTGCGGCACGCGCACACGCACACGCGCGCACACGGGAATAGAAGCCCCGGGTTAGTTCCCTCGGCAGGCTGCCCAACGCCTCCTGAATGGCGACTTGTCCTGACAAAACGGGAGGAATCTTGCACCGCAGTCAACGTCTAGAATATTAAGTCTATTTGCCACGCACTGTTAACGTGAAATAAAGAAAGATGGATTATCAAATGTAGAGCAAGGGCAGCCTTTCAGCCATTCTGAAAAAATGTAACCTCATGTCATTCAGCAGGAACAAATAACGCAAATATCACATGACATTACCATATTACATGTAATGGTGTGTTATCAGTCAGCTCGTTACAATTGTTACATGTACATATTGATGTAGTAGCTTTATATAGCGTTGTTGCTACTCCAAAGCGGTTATTGAAACAAATTGTTGATTTTCTTATCAAATGTGTAGAATTATGAATTGCGCATATTTGGAGTTAAACTAACAAACACAAGTCCAATCATGATGTAAACTTTGGAGTAAGTAGCATTTTATATGATGCGATACATTTTGATATATTTGGGATAAGTGCTGTGCCAACATCTAACAATATTCTTTTTCTTACTGAAAGACAAACTAAAGCGTACAATAAAAACGGCACCAAAATCATGCCTTGCGAGAACTATCAATGGCTCTTTCAGTTTTTTTCAGACCTCCAGCAACCCCTATGCTGCCAATTTTCCATAAGCAACACCAGCTATCCCACTTAATTGCAATGTACTTCCATGCGAGCATTGGGATTCTCAAATCAGTACGAAATTTACTTCATGTCCTCGACACAGTCATTTTGAAAATGTATAAAAAGCAACCATTACACGGCTAAATTGTCCGCGCCAGGTGAAATCTCCACCATCGTCTCACCCGCCATGCAGCAAGGGGAGGGAAGTGAACGGGGGCAATTTTACTGTGCAATGGCTTACTTTGTCAGTGGGAGGGGGGTGAAAAGAGGACACTGTTTAAAGGGAGGCCTCAAAGAAAAGGCTGTCCCCCCCCCTCTTCATCTCCATAAAACTGGCGTCAAAAGGGGCTGTATTTTAACGAACATTCGGATGTGCTGAGTTAAAGTCCGAGCAACAAAGTAGAGTGCGATGTATTGCACATGCTCAAACAGCACACCAGGCACTTCACAGAGACAGGATCAGCGTCAGAGGGCACGCCGCCGCCGTGGCGGGGATTGTCACTCGAGAAACGTGAAGAACTCCCTCGCAAAAGCCTCCGCCGGCCTTCCTTTGAATCCTCTTGCCTCCCTACGCGAAGGATAGAAACCACTCTTTTCAAGGACTGTCCTTTTATTGTCGTTTCGGTGCCATAAAGATGCCAAAATTAAATTATACGTACGTTGTTTTTTTTCCCATTGCACCCAGATGGCATACATGCCTGTTCTGTAGATTATTTGAACTCAATCTTGACGTAAATATATTTTTTTTCAAGAATTCCTTCGTACAGTCACTGCCACTTCATGGAAAAACACACCTCCATTTGCATAATGACAGCAAAATACAATTTATGTTCCTTTGACAGTACTTATCACGATAGATATTCAGCATAACTTAATACAACTGCATTGCATTTCGAGAATTCTCCAGTGTATTTGTGTTTCCAACGCACAAATCAATTATCTGTTAATGAGAAGTGGTGGGATGAATGACACAGCATAGGAAAACCTTCACCAAGCAGCGAATTCACAAAATGACTCTTCCATGTATGTACGTTGAACTTCTTTCACGCCGTACGTAGCCAACCGTGCTCATCGGCGGTGCAGGACAGGTAGTAAAGTACTCATGCAGAGTCTGCACTTTAGATCGTTTTCTTAACAACACGAACCCCCATGTGGTTTGTGAGGAAGGCATGTTGTCTTTATAAACGCTGCATGATGAATGCATGCCTCTTGCCAGACTTCCTCTAAAATGCCTGATATTTACAAATGCTATCCTGTTTAAAAAAAGAAAATGTCATGGCAAACCATCCACAGAAATAAGATTCCACGAGGTTGGCTAGAAAAAGACGACAGCCCTCAAGACAGCGGTTAAACACAGTTTGCACGATGCTTCTGCAGCCAGGTTTACCACATCCACCACATTCGCGTGCTCACTGTAAAGACACGGCATTGGAAAGAGTTCACTCAGGAACGTATCAAGCATTATGGTGTCAACGTAAGGCTCAAGTTTGTCATGCAGGATAAAATAAGCGAGCAATTGTTTTGAGATTCCTATGGGTATCACTAGCCACGTGGGGACATTATAACTCCCATCAATGTAGCTGATGCCTCAAAGTGCAACAAGTTGACCACAAATCAGCACACAAACTCATTATACGTTGCCGTGGAGCATTGTGTAAAGGCACATTTAAAAAGAACTCTGTTCTGTGTCTCCACATGTACATACACGTATTTTAGTCCATCAGCCTATTGGCTTTCCAAACGAATATTACCAAGCAACATATGTTTAAACAAGCAGAATCAGCGCCAGTTTCGACCTTCTGGGTCTCTTCATAAGAATAAGGCTTGCTAAACAAATATTGCTGAATAACCAGAAGTTCTTGGTAATATACCTGCACACAATAAAATCCATCAGCCAAACCAGCAAGCAACTTTATCCTGGACCACCGAGTGCCCGGTTCTCTGATTAAGTGGACGGAAAGTGGAGCACGTGCCCCCCTCCATGTCAAAGCCTCATCTGTCAACCCGTACCCAGGAACACTCCAGCAAGACAGATGCCTTTTTCCTGGCACTGCGTGTACCATTCAGTTTACGTGGCACTAACAGGACCGACGGCTCACGGCGCAGACACAACGACGCATGTGCACACACACACACGTACCCGCATGTTTGGAAATGTATTCAGAAGCACTTAACACATGTGCCTACCAGCTGCAAACGTACAGAATCAACGGTGAGGGTGAGAATATATGTGGCATATCGTCTCAGCATGTCATGTTAATAAAACACCTTTAAGATTGCATAATTAGCTCATTTATTGAAAATAGTTTTGTCGTACACTTCATGCGAAACGAGTGCTGTATGTCTGTTAGACTTTGCATAACGATGTGACAATTAGACGTAGAATTAAACAAACTCTACATTAACATCAAAGGCATATAGGCCCTAATAGTGAGTCACCACAAAAGCCAGAGGGCATTTGTGTTTTAGATGCGTGGATGAGTTATCTAGTGAACAAGCAATGTTTGGCGTTTGCTACAGAGATTCGCTGTTCGAATCCAGTGGCTGCCCCACATTAATACTGCGTTGTGTGCGTTGTGGGTATTAAACGTCACGTTGCAAATCCCCTGAAATGTTTGGCCACAGTAGGTCCCATTTTGCACTAACGGTCATTGGTCCAAATTTGAACAAATACCTGCGAATTACTCAATCACTGCCCCCCCCCCCCACCGTACGCACTGCAAAAGCTTGGCAGGAACCTCCTGAAAAAGAGTTAAGAGACTCAGTGAGGCTCTCCTGGGTTAACAAGCCTAATAAAACAAACTCAGGGAGTGCCTATGAGAGAAGTGCCGTGGCAAGCAGTGCTGTGTAAATAAAATACTGGTATCACATGCACATTGCCATTCCTCAAAATGTATCATATTTCAGTTAATCTCCGTATTTATTAAGTGACGTCAATAACCTAACGAGTCACTCTGTATATTTCCTCAACAACAAAATAAACATACCACGCACACCATTCAGAGTGCATTCCATGTGCATAAAGCGCACGCACAAACAAGATCTTTAAACCTGCTGAGCGACTGATGCAATGTACAAACTTTCCAGCATTCCATCCAGCCCCCCCCCCCCACACAATATATGTAGCTGCAGTCCTTGATATTTGAGATGTATGATAAAAGTCCCGAAAGCTTGTTTTAAGTAATGCGTTAGGCTTAACCGATGACAAAAGATAAGTATAATCTTGAGAATGTGTGAAACAAGGGCAAATACATTTTTTACAAGGTTAGAAAATGGATATAGTTTGCACAAGAGTTATATACTGGTACTTTGAATAGACAAAGTAAACGACTTAAAAAGTATCTTTAGTTTATAAAATATCATTTATATTCTTATTTATGACATGTGTTCATAGGGAGACCCATTTCATATTCTGGGGAATGTTACTCAGAACTGTGGAGCGTAGAGGTGTGAAATCAGGAAAAATCGACTTTCTGCAGCAGTGGAATCTCTCCCGCCTGTGAGCAGGTGGCACAGGAGAGAAGGAGACTTGGCGTTTCCTTTGAAGGACAGCGCAATGTGTATCAACAAGGACACAGAGGCAAGCGTTCTATTTTGAAAACAGCTGGTCCAGCGTTTAGGAGCTCAGAAGATAAATACACATTTTCCCCAATGTTATCCCACCCTTCCTATCGATGTCACGTAATGAGACGGAGAAATTTCAGAAGTATAGCAGAGTAGCGCAACCCTTCGTGGTGGTGGAGAACAAGAGAGCGTGGAGAAGTGGACAGCAGATAACTGCTTCTGAGATCCGTTCAAGAGCAGGGCAGCTTTTAAATGGGAGCGCGCGACTTTCACGTGATGGTCCTTCATTTAAAAACTGTCGACGCAAATTATATAACTCCCCTGACTTAGCACTTCAAACTGCATCAACTTACACCCGCATGGACAAAAATATAAATGCATTTGTAGATTTAAAAAAAGCACTTGATATAAACAGTGATAAGCATTGAGTTCCAACAAAACGAACAAACGTACACACGTGTCAAAGCATCGACCAACAGCTTAACGATTGTTGACGAATGATTAATAGTCTGTGGCTTGAGAGATGTGGGGCCTGGAAGCCTATGGAACGAGGAAGGATCATTAACTGCAGGGAATGTTGGCTTATGCGAGGGTAGATTAACTCTGTCACAGGACGGAAAGGAGGGCTCCTTGCACCTGATGCCACGTGCTCTTGCACAGTGGAGCAGTTAAATATTGGGTGCATTACTCTGCTTATAGCTTACGAGTCTACGTTTCAGAGATCACTTCTCCTTGCAGGCTTGTAACATGCATTACGTTGCGAGATTTGTTTTTGTTTTTACAATTCTGATATATATAAGAACGATGCCCACTTAAATGTGTTGGATTGGACTTGAAACTCTCCGCCAGGTTCAATGAGCAGAATCAAGGCAAGGAGTTTATTACTTCAAAAGGACGGCAACTTTGAAAGCATGAGAACATAAGAGATTTCGTATCAAAATAAAAACTCTGTGGTCAAGTTTGATAGACGTGAATATTTCGTGACGTTAAAAAAAACTTGTTGTTGTTTCTCGGCTTCGGCGTTGCGCACACTTTTTTGTATTGCAGTAGAGCTTCCACCGGGTCGAAGCAGCAGCAACGACGACGTCAACAACAACAAAGAAGAGCAAAGCGCTGCAGTAACTTTGAAGAATTGCATACATTCGGGTCGAGGAGAGACGGGGCGATCTGTCACGACGAGCCGAGGCGAACCGAAATGCCGACGGCGTGAGCCAGTGGCGAGCCAGAAAGGGTTGGGTGGGTGGGTGGATGGATTTGGGGAGCTTTGATGCGAGGAAGAAGCAAAAGCACCACGCCACGTGCGCTCGCCCTCGGCTCGCTCTCTCGCAGGTTGTCATGGACACACAAGAAGAGGACAACGCTCTCGACGGATGCACCAGCAGCAACAACAGGAGCAGCGGCGATTTAGACGGCCACGGAGCGGTAAGAGAAAACAATAAACCTTTGTTCGTAATGATCGTGACAATTGTGTAGGCTAAAAATGGCAACTCCTTGAGGTTAGCTTGTAAGCACAATGGTGGCAACACGCATTTTTTTTCATCTATATAAACTCTCCTTTCTTAAATTACCGGCGCATTTAGAGATACAATACAAGGTTTCGCACGTAAGATGCCAAAACTACAAAATCCAGACTCGAGTGGCACATTCTTCAAAGCAGCTTTGGCTCATCATGAACTCAAAAGGCATTTGTCCAGCCAATGGAGACAGCAGCAGGCACTGACCGGGCCATACATAGGTCGGTGTGGTCCCTCATGTCCAGATCCAGACATCCCACAAACTGCACGCCCTTTCCACGTCAGACAACGGAACGTTGCAAGAAACAGGGACCTGCATTGTCAGGTGCCCTTTGCCTCAAGTGCACAACTGGCTCAGTGGCAGGAAGACCACACATTGGTGCGTTGCAATGCCAGCAATTTGCATACTGCATAGTGCGTCTCTACCTTGCAATACTTTTATTCGGTGTACAATAATAAATAAAAATAAATTTTACAGTTTACGAGAGTTTAAATGTTTCAAAATATTCACCAGCAAAAATGTCCTGAGAGAAATGCTACGTGCAAAGCATTTTGAGTTAGCGCATACTGTATTAAATGTAGCTTGCAGAGAACAGCATGTACATGTCAATGCAGAATTATTTCATACAATAAAAGCCTTTAGCTTACAAGTAAATTAAAATGTTAAGTACCGTACAAAGTTTTCTGTTGTTACCATATCTTTCCATCTCCATTGTCCAAAGTATTTCCGTGCTCAAACCAGCATTCGGGTGGCGTCAAGCGTAGAAATGTCCGCATTCTTATGAATGGGACCAGTTAATCCAAAGGACAACCATTGTTGGCATCCTATTATTTGGGCAGAGTACCCATCGTCACCACTGGAGGATGACGATGGGCTGAGTTGCCAAACTTTGGATTCTGAGTCGAGCTCTGTCTTAGTGCCACCCGGGTCAGTCGGCAACAGTATTGTATGGCGGCATCCCTCTTTTAAGAGCTTCTAGTTTTTGTTGGCATTGCATTGTCATAGACAGTGATAAACTTAACGTATTTGTTATCTAATAATTGTTTGGTTAACTATGAACAAATAGACTCCTAGAATGAAAATCAATTCCAAAGTCTATTAATTGTCATGGCACACAATAATACGATACAGCCCTTTGCTGCGAGCTGTTTTAAGTTGAGAATTTTAAGTGACTGACAGTTGCGTGAAATTTCAGAACCTAAATATTTAAAATTATCACGTGAAGGAAAAACATACAAACTCACGAACCACATACGTCAGAACATGTCTGGAAAAACACACGACAAAGCAGAAACACTGCGACGTCGAGCGAACATGATCAAGTTGGCTATGACCTCAGTCTAATGTGCAGACTTTATTCTTTTTTGTGATGATATTGAAACTTGTGGAGAATTGTGGGGGGGGGGGGGGGGGGCAGGGTTATTGAAATATAAAAACGCTATCGATGTACTGTACTTAACTATATGCCTGATTTGGTGTCCTCTGCTGGTTTGGTACAATGTTATATTTGGCACTTTGCAATTTTCAAAGATACTTTTGGTGGCCTTAGCTCTCTGATATGAGCTTCCTTAGTCAACTCACAGCACGTGTAGCATAACGTCGGACATCTACACGCGGTAAAAACAAAAAAAAACGGAGAACTGTACAGCACAATTGAGAAATCCCTCTGCAGTACGGATTGTCGATGTGCTTGTTCACCCCAAATCGGCAGTGTCCTTTATCTCGCTATCTCTCTCCAAGCGTGGCCACAATCCGACTTTTGCCGCGACATGCCTTCCTTGTGCTGAGACCCCCGCATGACAAGCACACAGAGACCTCGTGCGATGCTACACATAACACTCAACATCCATTTTAATAACGCCTTTTAAAATGTCACTTTACTGCAGAGGGGAGAAACCATTAATGGTGGAATGAGACACTTGTGTTATTCGTTTTTTTTAACCTATTGCTTCCACCCAATGAAAAAGTCACACAATTGTGTTTATTACACAAACAGAAATGCACACCGAATTCCATTCACGCACGCACTTAACACGTGTTAACACAGATTTTACTCCGTTTCCACAGCTTCTGTTGCTTTAATTACAAACACAGCCTCATATGCTGTGAGATGGCTGTGAAGTACAAAAGTGGCAATGCCTTTAAACAAGGAGATCATTGACCCTGTGCCTTATGAATTTAGTTGTTCACGATCGAAACAAAAATAATTGGCCCAAGGCAATGAACAGTCTAGATTTAAGACAGTGCTATAAACAACAAAACTAAGCCACCCTTTGTATGCCAGTTGAGCCATAAACACATACTTCTTAGCAACAACGAAAATGTGCTGCATTAAAATTTCAACTTGTGTACAAAGTGCAAGAATTGTTGTGGCTTCCAGGTTTTTAGATTCTCGTGCACGAAAGTTCTATTGGAAGTGCATTGTAAGCAGTGAAGCCTGCAAAGCAATGGAAGGGATAGGAAGACAATGCCACTGCCTTGAAAGAGACCCACCCAAGAGCAGGCGGGTAGAGTTCCAGAATTTATTCATTTTTGGAAGAAAGATTTGCTCCATCTGCTGCCATGAGAGTGCCCTACCCCCCATTTATAAACACTGACAGAAGGATGGTAATAGGGCTAGCATAGCATTTTAGTGTACCATTCTCAGGGAAATGTGTCCACCCCTCATTTTTGCACGTGTGTGTTTACAGATGCACATGTGCAGCCCCCTTGAATCCACTGCTGGATGAAGGCTTCCCTAAGCAGTGCAGTTCCTGAGGGTTGTTTGAGCTAACTTCATCACGCTGGTCAGTGCAGCTCTCGGTTGGTGGCACAGAGCACAGATGTTGGGAGAACCATACAGCACAATAATGGATTTTCTGCACTTTAAATACAAAGTGGTCACCCGTCCATGCACTATCCAGGCTAAACACTGCTTAGCTTTTGAGCTCTTACAAAATCGGGTGCATTCCAGGAGATTTGGTCAAGGCTATCTCTATGCATACCCAGAGATAAATATAATGCACATTTCTTACTCTGCCTAAACTGTCGAGCAAGTCATGCAGAGCTCACCACTAAAGACAAAGATCCCCCGTATAGCCTTAACAGACTGTTGGAGCAAGTGCTCTTAGCGAGCACCTATGACAGCCGGTACGATACACAAGCGGGTAGGTGGCCAGCACCATGCCTGGCCGCCTTTGTCTCCCCAGTGGCGATTTTTACCCATCGTGCCAGGTACTCATTTGAGGCTGAGTCGACCTAGTGGAGGCCCAGGACTGATTCAGATAATCGACACCCGTGTTGGCCGTGAGTGGGAATCGAACTCGGGTTGCCGGGTTTGTAGCGCAGTGCGCTAACCATTGCACCACCACTCCCCACTGTTGAGCTCGCCAAAAACAGACAAGACACCTACAAAATTACATTCCGCTGGCAAATATCTTCAACGATAGGGTTGATTCAAGAATCATTATTCACCTCTCAGCCACATTCCAACAAATGCCAGTTTATGGACATACTGGTTGCACCACACGAACCCCTCTAGAATTTTAACACGCGGAAACTTTTCTCAGAAGAATTGTGAGTAGAGCAGTGTTCTCCGATTATTTGAGTAATCAATGGCTCTAGAGATAATTATCGGTTAGTATAATCAACTAATCGGACAACACACAAAAAAGTTTCACCTCTGTTGCCACATGTTCTGCTGGACGGGAGGGGAAGAGCTGGGTACAGTGATGTCATCAGCCACATCACGATGGGCGTGGATTGTTAATGAGGTTTCCTGCCTTCACCTTCAAGAAGCAGAGTGAGGGGTGACCATCTTTTTTCAAAGGGACACGAGTAATTGATCACAAATAAGTAGTCGATTGTCATATTTTGTTGACTAATCGACTCATCGTACACCGGCTCTAATTGTGAGTAGAACTGCCAGGTTAACAGAGAAACGTTGCTGATTAAAAACAAAAATGTCTAAGTTCGTGTGTGGCAGAGGGAGCCTGGCAACACGGCACTCACCTCGGTCAATCTGAGCAAGTTCCTGGTTCTCGTCCTCAGAGTCGTCCTCTTCCTCCTCACTCGATGAATGAGTCACCTACCAACGACACAGAGCGCGGTAAGCAGAAGCAATCGCATCAGATGTCTGAGAAAGAGGCTGTCCACATTATTTTTGCCAAATCTTTGTTGGTTTGGCAAGCAAAACACAGGGTCTCAAGTGAAAAAACCAGCCTTCTCCAATCCGAAGGTTGATAAAGCGCCTTATCAGTGGATTGCTGAATGAAGGCCTTCCCATGCCATGTTGGTTGAAAGGGTTGTTTGACCATATTTCACGACGCTGGTCAATACGGGTTGGTTAAACAAAAAGCTCACATACGAACCCACTTCATTTGTAGGCCATTGAAGGAAAAGTAGCGGTGATCATTGATTTTATACTATTAGCATTAGCTCCAGCCCGAGGTGTCTAACAAATTGAAAAGGGTAATTCACATGGGAATTACACTACCCTTCCAAACCTTTCTCTCTTTAGATCGCATCTTGCCCTACCTACACTTGTCCCCACCTTTAACACGTAGGCTTTCGCGACCAATATCCAAAAAAACCTCTATTATTGTCCCCACCTCCACACCATAATTATTTTTTTCTTAAAGAAATGTTAATGGGGTTTTTTTATCTCACCAAATGTGCTGCATGGAATGGGTGAGGTTAATCAAATGCTGCAGATGTCCAAAAACGCAAAAAAATATGTATGTTGCAGTCAGTGGTGCAACAAAAAAAACATGCCCAATGGAAATACCATTGATGCCCTGAGACAAAAAAAACAGCTCAAATGCCACTGTGACCCACTTTCAAGGGTGCGGTTTGCTACGATATAATTGTTGTTCGTTTTTCCAGTTAACGTCACGTGTGCCTTTGTGCTCAAGGTCACGTCTGCAGCGTTGAGCTATACACGACTGGGTTCAGTGACTCCTAAAAACTGAAAATAAAATCGTAAATTTCACGAGCTCAAATATTCTGCTTACAGAGCAATACACTGAAAGGGCATCAACCAATTTACATTTTACTGTAAATGACTAATTAAATCATTATATAAGTAAGCCGTAGCAATAAAGTCCACAACCGCAGTCTCCAAGGTAGCATTTAACGTGCTAATTTATGGCCCTCTTCTCATTGTTGTTAATGACGTAACCGCTGACATTTACGTAAGGTCAATCTATTCTAAGGCCTTTCTTGGAAAAAGGTGATGCTTTTTTTAAATATATATATTTTTTTACGTGATTAGGTTTGAAGTTCATATTAATATATATACATTTATATTTAAAAAAAACTTTAAATGCGATCTAAAATTTCAGAGCAGATTCATTTGTTTTCAGGCCCGTGGCGTGACCTTGTTAAAAGGGGGGCATAAAAAGAACCCTGGGAGAGGCAGGAAGGCACCGCAGTCAATGTTAAACAAATGTTTAACATCGCTTAAACTTACACTTATGTTTAAACGCTAAGCAGAATGAGTAACGACGCAATCTGCTTGTGTTTATGTGCATTCAGCTCCAGTTCTCACCAACATCTTTTAATTTCACGTTAAAATTTTACAATGGACGGCTGAGCCTTCTTCTCTGGAGGGGTCAGCTCTTCCAGCCTCCATCAACGCTCGAGGGCTGCTGCTGCTGCCTTTGATAACGAAAAAAAAGATTTGGGCATGTCCATAACAGCCTCTAAAATGCTTAATGGGTGGCTTTTACGTAAGCTCGTGCTAACCAACCCACTCCCCAGACAATAACAAACTACAGTGCACAGTGGGTGAAGTCAGAGTTCCAAATTTAGACCCGCTGATCACCAATATTGCATTGCTCACCGTGCCCGGGTGCCTGTACACCTTCACGCGATTACGTTACTGTTTCAAAATGCACGTATCTTGCACGCTAAATTAGCTTAGCCATACCATTAATATTGTTACAATCACTCAGTCCAACTTACTGGGGCACTGCATTGATTTTAAGCCAGCATCTGTATTTCTGCCGAGTATGAGATCTATTGACCTCATAGAGCTGAGCTTCAGGAGAGGCGTCTGTGGCAGGCCAGGTGCAGGGAGGGGTAGGCATTTGAGAGCAAAAAATCGCCCTGCTGAAAAAAATCGCTCCCGTGCCCAGAACTTGCAGCCAGCGTGGAATTAACGGTGCAAGGGTTTTCATAGTTGTCATTTTAAAAATTACATCGCTCATCACACGTCACCGTCTTTCCATGAAGCCGTACACGTTCTCAATCATGAGAAATGTTAAATATCGCCTGGAAAATTGACGGGCAATCAATATTTTATACGCACAATATCCTCCGTATTGTATAACGCACCACAGAGAATTATTAAACACGAATACTGAACTTGGAGTAAAGTATGGGCTACTCCCACCTGCAAGAAATCGGACCAGCATGGAAAAAGAGGAGGCCAGATATTCTCTATGGGGGTTTTGTGAATCTCTCTCCAGTGCAGACCCTTTCGTCAGCAGTGGCGAGTGCAGGTAACAGAAGGGCTGCACCTTAAAGTGTAAGTCCTGGTGGTGAACTTGTCAGGCAAGCAGAGGTGATTGTCTGTACTCAACTCCTGGGCTACGATGCACGACACAGGACAGTAAAATGCTGAACGACTTCCTGCTTAACAAGCCCTGCATGGCCCCCTCCTCAGCGCCAGAGCTAAACGCAGGTTCCACGTGCTGCACCACACTTTAACCTCTCGGTCTTAGCAAATAATTTGTATTCAGATCGGTGAAACTGGGGCAAGTCTACAGTAGGAGATATTTAATTTAACAACTACATCAACGGCATCGTTGTACAATATATATTACAGTGAAAACATAAAGTACATAAATACACAGTACTATATTGCAATTATTGTTTCCTATACTTTGCATACTGCAGTGTCATGCCATGCAGTGTATTCAGTTGCGCGAATGTAGAACAATTACAGTGCAGGAGTCATCTCAGTATTTTTGACAATACAAGACTTTATTAGCATTGCATTTAGTCATGTGCATGCTGATTTGTTGTTATGCTCAAGTGCATTTTATACAAGTATTTATTTTAAAACAAAGCCAACATTCGAATAATTTACAAACACTTTATTTCAACAATGACTGTCATTGTACAAGCATTTTTTATTATTTTATTACTTCCCTTCTACGTGACTTTACCGAAAGAACCAAGAAGATGAATCCCTGCAGTCACGAAAGCTTTAAATCGAAACATTAAAGATAAACTAAGGATATTTACAGGGTAAACAATTCAACAAAATACAGACATCAAAACAAAATTGATATGTTTAATTGTAAACATGATTAACTGTGCCATATTTGCATTTAGAGTGTCAGATTATTCATACACATTAATAATGAAAGAATAATTGGAAATAATACCACATCTATACCACGAGTGATTACTATATTAATAATTTGTGATGACAGCATCAATGATGACAGTGACAATGATGGATATGATGGAAATAACTACTGTAATTTTAAACGTTCATGCCCTCATCAACGGATGCCCATTTAACTCTGTGCCTGCTGGTGGACACTTCAGTTGATCCAAGAAGGATTTAAAGGAGACTCCCGAGGGTTCAGGTGATAGCTTAAACTATTTTATGACCCAGGCACTTCCATTTTATTGGCACCAGCAGATAAATTGTTTCAAACAGTGGGCTACACAGTACATGATGTGGGCTATGTACATGATGCTTAGGTGGCAACATGCTCCTTGGTGTTCATGTATTAAATGTCTATCAACTACCTATTACAAACTATTTATTATTTTACCAGGTAAGGTCCACTTAGCTATATAGCTCTTTTTCAAAAGCGAACTGGCCACAAATGATAGCTCAAAGAAGTGGCTTATGATGTGGAAATGTATAGCAGCCAAATAATCCAAACGTATGTTTATTCTAAATGCGGAGAGAACCCCCAGAAGACCTGGAGAATAATCCCAGCGACCACGAGAAGAACATGCAAGCTCCAAAACTACAGGCATCAGGGTCAGGATCGAACCCATGATCTCCTGCACACCAGGTGAGGTAGTTAACATCTCGCCACGGTGACACCCCTTAGATTATGGATAACCATTTGTGAGCACAGGTCCATGCACGGTCAGTATTGGTGCTTAAATCATTGGCTGTGCACGGCTCCTCGAGCAGATGACACGAGAGCAGATGAGCGAGGCATCCTGTGCTCTTCACCACAGCCGCAGCAGGTCTGGTTCTGAGCCTCGCCGAGATGACCTCACTTCCTGAGGCTTTGCAGCAGCCAACAACATGTAAGTAGGTATTTCAGGCATCGCCAGATTACCCGTGGTTCTTCTGACCTAGGCATGTTATATCTAGGCATCAGCCATGACCTGCACGGCATGGGGAGAACCTCACATAGCAGCGGATTGACAAAGGGCTGGACATTTATATGTACACAAGCAAGTGCTGTTGGGAGAGTATTGCGCATTGCCCACCGAGCACTCCCCAATTTGCCAACCGCATTACCAAATCCATTAGTGCTTTCACATGCGCCTTTATAAAAATGCACCTAATAATATCTCATTAGTCTATTATTTGGTTGACGACAAAGTTGGCCACTGCGCCCAGACAGCACTGAGTGGCATAAACAGACAATTTAAAATAAACGTGAAAGAAATCTAATAGGCAAGCGCAGGCCTTCCCAGTGGCCCACTTTGTCCTGAACTCTGCCACTTGTGGAAAACATCACCCACGGGCCCCTGAAAAATACTCCTAAAGCCTCAACTGCTTTGCGAATTAAACCCTATCCAGCATTAAGCGAGCGTTGTTACTTGCACAAATCAATAAAGCTCCCACATAACGACAAAAGCAAATGAGTTTTACATTGTGTTTGGGCCACGTTTTGCTTTGCTTGGGGAATAATAATTTATGTCCACTGTACATGTTAATTTAATCAGTGATGTTAAATTGCCACCATTACATTGCTCGCATTACTCTCTTAGTGTCCCAAACGGACCCAGAATGTCCCGAGCCTGTGTGGAGTTGGGGGGGCCTCATGACACGAGCTGTGATCACTCAGACACGCTATTCAACTGCTATTGCGCAAGAGGAGGCATCCAGTAGCATAAACGCGACTTCCAAACCGCAATGAACACGAGCCCCACATTCCGAAATAAACACTTGCACAAGCCCGGCCAGAAGCACAGACAACCAATTGATAATGACAATGAAAACAGCTCTCAAGAATAATTGGGTGGCATGCGGTTATTCTTTTCAAAGTTTCTGTTTGTTTATGTCAAAACTATTATATAGGGTAATACATTACATGTGGTAATTATTATTCTTCTTCAAAATACTATATCAGACAGGTGTTCAATGGATAGACTAGATCATAATTATCCCCCCCAAAAAATCACGAAGTTCACCTTCATATTATTTACCAAGGAAAGCTTTACTGACTCTCAACACTTGAGGTGGTTCCTGCATGTTGGGATGTTTGGCTAATTCCATTCAGGAATGTTTTCGGCATATCAGAAGTGTCAGTTTGTAATTGAAACCCCAGGTCGTCGTGAGTGAACGGTTGTGTGCATTTCACGGGATGATCTCAGTGCACCCTCAGAGGGCGCACAGACCACGAAAACACCAACAGAATCCAAACAAAGACATGACTAAACACACAAAGACACACACGCGCGCGTCTCGTACGTTCAAACAGCAGGCATTCCCCCTTGAATGGCGCACAACCATGTCCTCACCAGTCCGTGTACGCATGAGTAACATCTCACTCTGGGTCACTCACTGCACAAACGAGCAGGCGTCGTCAGTGAGCCACGTGCTAAGGCTATTTACATCCCCATCTCCCCCACGCCACCTTTAATGCCCTACTTAGATTTCGTCGTATACCGTCGTGCAATAAATCTGCATTCTGATGGGCTGTTTATCGCGGTACAACGCTGTTGTTCGGTTTTATCGCACATCCTCCGCTTCATGCGTTGCCTTGTGATGCTTTTCCCAAACAATAACAGAGCCCTTTGAAAACGTCAAAAGATACATCGATAATGCCAGCCTAAAAACCCCGCCAGTGAATGCCTTGTTCCCCGTGGGTGCTTAAATAGAGGTGGAAATGTACTGGCAAGCACATAACCTGCGCGTTGGTGAATCCCAGTGAAGGATTATATGCAAGGTCAAAACTGCCTGCTGTCAGTACAATAACTAAATTGAGGCTTTGCTCAAGTGCTTGAAAATAAGAATGTTGATGCAATAATGTGAAAGATATTTCCACTCCTGGCAGCAACTAGAGACTCTGACATGCGTCATACCACTAAATAAAACGGACATTTATCTCCAATGACCACTCTATAAACGTTATGTAGCTTAATACAATGTTGATAATAACAATACATAATATACAGCCCTTCGTCAATCCACTGCTAAATGGAGTTGTTCCTGACACCGAGTACGTGATGTGGGTTTGTTTAACCATACTTCACCACGCGTGTCAATGCTGGTTGGTTGAGGGTGGGTGCCCAGAACCCGTGGCTGATGTTTGCCGTGACCGGGAGTCGAATTCAAGTGCCCTTGGGTTCTTAGCACCGTGCGATAACCACGGTGCCACTGCTCCCCTGTCCCGTTACACCTTTAAAAGAACTGCCTATACGTTTATAGTGCTTGCTGGAATGCAATAGGCGCATGCGATGCCTCGTGTCAGCAAATATTACTCAATATAGCACCAATCGACGGCCAAGAATAGTGATGGAGTGGCAGCCAAGATATGGGACGCGTCCGAGATGGAGAGTCACCGAGGAGATGGAGCGATGAAATCAGCATACTGTGTGGGTGCTATGTGGAGTATTAATACTTCTCCATCGCAGTTTTGTGAGAGTATAGTGACGGGTTGGGGAGGGAGGCGACAGCTGAGCAGTGGATTGATCTTGGCTGGTGATGATGATGATGACGGTGGTGGTAGCAGCAGTCTATTGTTGGCATTGTAAAGACAACAAAGTGATTTGGAAGTTGCTGCTGCTGCTGCTCCTGCTGGCTGCAGACAAAAGATACAGCCTCGTGCCATCAGCAGTCGATAAGCCGTGAAGGAGACGCATGGCTATTGTTCTCCCGTCTACTCAATAAAGTTGTGTCGCGACGTTACGATGCGCGGATGCTTCTGCTTGCCAGCAGTTAATGGCATGTCTGGTGATAACCAACAATGCATTGTCATCACCATTTCGATAAGACATGGGTTATTTACAATTGTTTACTCCAGTATGAGTGATGAACTGCAAGATCACACGAGCCAGCCAGCCTGTTATCCAGCCAGCTAGTTCGTCAAGACAGCCACTTCACTTCCCCGCCAGCTCACCAGGCATCCAGGTAGTCAGACGAGCAGCTAGTCCGGTGAACTAGCCAGCCATCCACTCGTCAATTAGCAGAGGTGTGGACTCGAGTCATGTGACTTGGACTCGAGTCAGACTCGAGTCATGAATTTGATGACTTCAGACTCGACTTGGACTTGCATAACAATGACTTTGTCCCACCTCTGTCAATTAGACACCCGCTCGGTCATCGAGACTACGAATCATATCGCCGGTTAGGTGTAGTCGGTTAACACAACTAGTCAATCGGCCAACTAGTCAAATAACTCGTTCTACACACAGCCATGCAGTCACCCAGCCTGCTAGTCAGTCTGCTTCAGTCACGATATCTAGTTCGCCCAACGAGCCGGCTACAGTCAGTCAGCAAGTCAAGCCACCCAAGTCAACACACCCAAGTCAAGACACCCAAGTCAACACACCCAGCCAGCCCCCTCCCATGAACCAGGTCAACTCTACTCAACATCACCTGTGATGACAGCGAGCAAGAGAGCATCAGGGTGCTGGGGTAGTGTGGTGATGGCGTTAGTGGTGGTGGTGGGTGGTGGGTGCCAAGTGCCCCCCTTCTCGCTCTACCTTGAGCTGTAGCGGCTGGACTTCGTCAATGGTGTACGCTCGTAACTTCTTTGTCAGCACCGTTACCATCCTAACCGGCCGGGCGTGCCCGGCTGGGCTGCGTGCGCTACGGGGGGGGCACTGCCTCCTCCTCGCTCGCTGATGCTGCTGCTGCTGCTGCCTCCGCTCCGTCTCCCGTCGATGGTTCGTTCCCACTCGCCCGCCCCCCACCTCCTCGTCCTCCTCATCCACGTCGTCGTCCTCCTCCTCCTCCTCCGCTTCGTATTCGTCGTCGTCGTCGCTCCGTCTCCACCGTGGCAGCGCGGCTCCGCTACCGCTACTGCCGCTGCTGCTCTGGTGGTGCTGGTGGTGCTGATGGTGATGCTGCTGCTGCCAACTTTGCGCACAGATGAGATACATACATGGGGCTTGCGTGTGCTAAGTCGCGCTTGCGCTACCCGTGTGTGGGGTGGGTGGTGGTTGTGGTGGTGGTGGTCCTCAAGCTACTACAGAGAGTCGCACAAATCCAGCTCCCAACCAACCTCCTCCTGCACCCCCCCAACAATCAGCGAACGCGCGTGTCCGTAGCCCAACTCCTACGGGTGTCTGCTTTGTTGTCGCTGGTTTTGCGTTCTTCTGTCTTGTTTGTGTGTGTGTTTGTGTTTGTAGGGGCTACTGCTGCTGCCACTGCTGCTGCCACTGCTGCTGCTACTGCCGCCTCCGCTGTTTGACGTCTGCGCTCATTCATCGGCGACTGCTGCTGCTGCTGCTGCCCCCGCAGGCTGCCTCGCTCCGCCCTGCGCACTCTGGCCCGCTCTGTTCCGCGCTCGCTGCCACCCTCTTCCACACAACTCCCTCCCATCCTCTTGCACCTCCCTCTCTCTCTCTCTGTACCTCCTCTTCCGTGCACCACCTCCTTCTCTCTGCACGCACCCCCACCACCCCACCGCTTTCCTCTCTCTCTCTCTCGCTCAACTCTGTAATGTCACCTCCGTCCCCTCTCTCCTTCCACCCACGACTCTTTTATCTATCTCCGCACTTATCTATATCTATCTAAACGCACTTTCCTCTCTCTCTCTGTCTCTCTCCACCTCCATCTCACTCTGTTAATTCACCCCCCCCCCCCCGCGTCTCTCTCCCTGAACTTTTCTCTCTCCCTCCCTGCACCTCTCGATCTCAATGCACCCCCCTGACCTGCCCCCCCCCCCCGTCCTATTCTCTATCTACCCCCCCCCGTCTCCCTGCAACCTCCCTCTTCCCCACGTGCTTGGCCAAACCCACCGGTAGCTCCATTGGCTGTCACGCCGCCCCTTCTCGTCTCAACAACCAACAACACAAACCCACATTGAACCCGCATGTGGGGGGGGCGGGGGGGTGAGATGGTGTGCGCGCTCGAGTGTTGCGATGGCTCCTCTGCTTGTTTGGTGGATTGAGCGGTGGGGTTTGGTTGAGTGATGGGGTGGGTCCCTGGGCTGGTGGGTGCTTGTTAATCCTCGAGTGTGGCTGCTGCTGCTGCTGGTGGTGGCGGTGTTTAGGATTTGTCTGGGTTGGTGGTCTTGGGTATCTTTGGTGGCGAGGGGGGGGGGTAACAGCAGCAGCCTGTGTGGCCACTGAGATATACACAAAAGATTCAGCTGCCCCCCCCCCCCAGCACAAACACAATGTAGGTTATGGTGGGGGTGGTTGTGTAGGGTGGTGGTCTCACAGATTGTGTGGCCTGCCAGTAAGAACCGGCGATATGGTGTCCAGGTGTGCTACTTCTTTCACACCGTACATAGCCAACCGTGCTAATCACAGGTGCGGTGATGTGCAGGGCCCCAACCACGAGGTGGTGGTGGTGGTGGTGGGAGGGAGTGGAACCTGTCCCGGACCTCAGCTCCGGGACAGCTTTGGCTGAAATAAAGTCCTGGGTGTTTGTACAACGAGTGCTGTGCGTATTGAGGGGCCGTCCATAAATGACGTCACGCACCTAGAGGGGGGGGGGAGTTGAGAAATGTGACGTCACATCAACTTTAAATAAATATAGACAACACGTTCTACTTAATTAAATAGACTTTTTAATAAATGTTTTCTCCTACATCAGAGTGCAGCGCCAGATTAGATACCCACCACAATGACAATAGTTTAAAGCGATTTGAAGCATGTTATATTTTTTGAGGGGGGGGGGGCAGAGCTTTGTGACGTCATATTTGAGGGGGGGGGGGTCAGACTTTTTGTGACGCCGTGTGACCACCGGGGGGGTGGGGTCAAAATCGTCCAAAATCGCGTGACGTCATTTATGGACGGCCCCTGATGTACACGTGCACCTATGTATTGGTCGGTGAAGCAGCTGCCGACATTCATTGCGAGAAGAACTGCTGTTAAAGAGCGAGTCGTTTAGTCCCAGCACACTAGGTGGAATAGGTGCCGCGTGCCGTCACGTGTTGGTACGGCGGTGGTGATGATGGTGGTGGTGGCATTATTATCGTGAGCCGAGCTGTTTGCGGAGGGAAGGTGTCAGCCCTCGGGAGAGCACCCTCACGCGTTCGTGGTCTCAAGGTGACCGCGCTGTGGTGACGATAACGAAATAAAGTCTGTGCACGCACACCAGCCCCCCCTCCATCACAAACATCCCACCTCCAACCTCCCCAACATCTCATTCCCTCCCTCCCACCTCCGCACATCAACCCCTCCCCCATCACCCACTGCCATTCACACCAAGGGCTGCCTGCCCCCGTCCTCACCTCATTCACAATAAGAGCGTGCGGATTCTCTGGCGCTTGCAAGAAGTAACCAGTGGTTTCATGTCAGTTGTGGGTTATCGTATATGCACAGTGATATACTGAACAGGGATTACATTTCTAATGGGAAGTTTTCCAGTGGGGCTCCCAACCACCTGCCCCCCCCCCCCCCCATAGCGGTGGAGGGGGGGGGGGCACGTAAATATTATTTACAGAGCTCAGCCCTGGACAGCTCCGGTTAAAATTAAGTTAAAGTACAAGGTGGTCCAGATGTCTTGTGACCCCCAATTAATTAACCCCAAAAAATGTTTGTTCCCTTGCATATGAATTTCTGTAGAAAATAAACCTCCTTTTAAACATTAAGTCTTGGAGAATTAAATGGGGGTCACAATACGTCCGGACCACCCCGTACAGAATTCAATAATGTTGTCGCCGTTGTGATAAGCGTACACCGTATAGTACACGAATATAAAACCAGTTCTAGGTAAAAAAAAAAATGTCTTATTTGGGTAGTAGTTTATAAAAAACGAAATAATATGCCAGACTTACCGTGATATACTACATATACGGTGTTGTGTGATAACTCATTTATTATATACGTATACCGTAAATTGTATTTATTTCACGCATAAAATATTCCATAAATTATATTTATATCATAAATCGTGTTTATTTCACATAAAGCAGTATATACTACCGCGACCAATTTTCAATATAATATACGCTACGTACGTTTTATTTACAAAAATGTTGACCAGAATGTCCCTTATTTTACAGCAAGACAAATAAAACCATGAACTGCCAAAATAATAATCGAGTGAACATCGCCGCCGCATCTCCTAGAGGTCATGCACCGAGACGGAGCAATGACAGATCGTGTGACAGGTGCGGTGCTGGCTGGATGTTTGTTCCACCGCAAGATCGTGAGAGGTGACGTCGGCTTAGGAGGCCTTCATCCAGAAGTGGATTGAACATGGCTGATGATGATGCATATAATGAAATATAATGCGTGTTTTTACATAAAATAATGCACCGAATATCATTTTATATATCGCACATCATTGCAGTCTTCGTGTGGCGTTTGCTGTGAGCCATCCCGCGGCATCCAGGGTAGCTGAGTGGAATAGTTCCACCAGAGTACGCGTGTTGTACTGATTGGGCAGTCATTGGTGGTCTGCGCCAGCTGGTTTGCACCTCGCCGCATTCAAAGTTTGATTAATCCCTTGACCTTCCATTTATGGAAGAAATTTCCACACCTTCCATGTGTTGTTCGGACACGGTTGAGAGTGGCCCACTATCGTTATTATTGCAGCTAAAAGGGCACATTGGCTTGACATGTCATTTCAGCATTGTGTAAATGCAATCACTTTATTTCATGCGTGTGGCCTACGGAACAAACATAGAGACATCCCCGACAATTGGATAAACTGATAATCGTCACGCGCATTGCGCCCTCTTGTGGATGCCCAGGTGCTGTACAAGCAACGAACTGCACGGACTGCCAGATCAGAGGTTTCACTTCCAGATCCTGCTACAGACTTCCCTCTATTTAGCTTTGCCAAGGGAGTTTTTTTACATAACCTGCCATCCTCGTAGAGTCGTGGAGTTGGAGGGAGATTTTGATACCAATATTGTAGCGAGGAAGAGGGAGGGCGGCTGTATTGTTGGAATGTTGGTAAAAAAAATTAGTACAATTGGGCAATAAGTGTATCAGCCCAATATACAATTGGGGGGAGATCTCGAGAAGAATTCACGATAGACAACAGCAGATCACGTTGTCACTCATTCTGTTTAGCGTTTAACATTTGTTTGAGTTTGTTTAACATTGGCCCTGTGTCGTGCCCTCCAGAGTTTCTGTATACATCCCCTCCCCCCCTTTCAATAAGGTCGTGCTATATTGTTGTGACACAGTAAGGCTGTAGTATACCCATGTAGGCAGCTGTCCTGTCCACTACCCCCACTCAACCCACCACACACGTCCGCCCCCCCCCCCCCCAACCTTGGATACAGCGCCCCCGAGAAGCCACACGCTCGATTAGCACTAATGGATGGACTAACACACTGCTGGCCATCCACCCGCAGTCAATTGACCACAATTGATCGATACCTAAACATAAGATATGTTTTGGACTGTGATTCGACGATTTAACTGAACGGGTCGGGTGTGGGTAGTTCGTTACTGCTGGCAGGACACGTTTGGCGATTTTAACTGCCGTATTTTATTTATACAAATGAAACTTTTTACTGGAGTAATACATGTAACATATAATGTCATTGAAATGAAAATGTGCAAGTCCAATGTATTTAAGATGTTATCTACATAAATACACATGTGCTTGGCGTTTATCACAGTTATTAGACGACAACGTTATGATAAAATTGTATCTTCATCTTCCGTATTGCGTTAACTATTTTTGGACAACGGTATGTACTGTACAGTACTTATAATAAATAGCGCCCTTGATGTAGCCCAAAAAAGCCGCACTTGAGTCTCAAGATTATTTTTAGGGAAGCCCTTCCTCATCAATTCGGGATGTTTGGCCAATTCCTAAATTAGCATCTGGCTTCATGTGGAAGTAAACTGGAGTACCCAAAGAAAATCCATCTTTTAAAGCTGAACTTTAAAAAAAAACCTCTCATCTCACCACAGATGAATTCAACAAAAACCTATTGTGCTGCCATCTTTTCACCTCCAAGCAAAGTTCACAAGCTTCGTTAAAAATGAAACACACCGGACAAAGCACGAATGTGCTATTATTAAAATGACATGTTTTTTTTTATAACATTATGTGTAAACATACTATCTGCCACGTATGACTTATACAAAACTATATAGTTGATCATAGATTATCCGGCTGCCTCCAACATTATCCGGCAGCAGTCCCGGGCCGATCCAAGGAAACCGCTCCAAAGGCTGTAACCCAGTCCGGCCATCGGCACCATGTGCATGGCAAAAAAAGTATCTAAGCTTGATTTCAGTGTCAAATATCGCATACAGTACATCATCCACCAGATACAACAACTTAGTGAAAATACTCTACGTATATACATTTTTCATGACTCATAACTACAGTAATAAAAACAGAACGGTGCGATCCGGCGAAAA